TTTTCTTTGAGTGAAGGCTTACTTGTCTGAACTGTTTTTTCATCGAGTTCTTGTCCTTGACAATACTGTATAATTTCGAGGCTTTCTTGGCAGAGTTTCAATCCATGTATGGAGAACATAATATAATTCATGTTATAATCAACAAGATTCTTATTTTGTCATAAGGTAATTAATCTTTAACATTATATGCTTTACAATTTTGACAACTTGCAACTGATATCAAGTAGAATGATATTGCACTTATTGGCCAATTTCTCTATGAATTATAATATGAGATAAAGAAATTGATGCTCAACTTATCTGATTTCCAAACATTGAATAAAGCAATTGACTTTGCTATGAAGTGTAACAATTAACTTTTTGAATTTTAATTTGAGAGTCAAACAATTAGGCTTCAATATTAATATAATTCAATGGCAACACCAATTTTTTTTAAACACATACATTTGAAAATGGAGAATATGCAAATTGATACAATACGCTTCAAACTTCTTACTGAGCAACAAAAGACTATTCACTATCAAGAAGGATTGTGTTTATATTATAGAGAACCTAAGCACACTACTCAATATTATCTAAAGAAGTAATGAAATTATAAAATGAAGAGTACAAATGTCAAAAAAGATAATATATTGGAAAAAAAAATTATCTAGTTGTAATAGGGACCATGCGGCTAGAACCTTGTACAACACCTAATGAAGGTCCTATTCTTTTGACAAAATCATCTCCTTGTTTTACATTAAATATTATTTAAGGATCTATACATTACAAAGTCTCTGTCTTATTAGATTCAAGAGCTTCAATGTGTTTCTTAGATGAAGAATTTGCTAAAAGAATTTACAAATTTTTAGTGAAGAAAACTAAACTTGTTCATATAGAAGTCATAGATGGTCATCTGTTGTCTTTTAGAGATATTATTCACAAAATCTTTTATATAGAAGTAATAATCAATGGTCATAATAGCTTTGTGGTATTTAATATCATTAAATCTCTCTTTCATCTAATCATTTTAGATTTATCATGGTTAAAAAAATAAAACCTTTGAGTACATTAGATTTCTTGTACTTTCAACTTTTCTAAAAGTATAATTAAGAGTATAATTAATTAAGTAAAAAATCAGAAGTCTTGTACAATTAAACTTGTATTTATAGCTGCAAGACCTTTCTTGCATGTTGTAAAAGAAGGATCACCTTATGTCATTTATGCCACTTGTTTGTAGTGGTGCAAAGACTTCAAGTGGCATTCCAAGCCAATATCAAGAATTTCAAGATATATTTGAAAAAAAAATATGGATATTCTTCTACAACATCGTCTCTATGACTGCTCAATTGAACTTCGAGACAGTGCACTATCGCCATTTGGACCAATTTATAATTTATCACAAAACGAGTTAGCTAATCTCAAGGAGTATATTGAAGAAAATCTAGCCAAGAACTTCATACGCCATTTCAAATCTCCAGCAAGAGCCCTAATTCTATTTCTGAAGAAAAAAGATAAATTATTGTGGATGTGTGTTGATTATTAAAGACTCAATAAGATCATTATCAAGAACAAGTACCCACTACTTTTAATATTTGGACTTTTTGATTAATTGAATCAAGCTAAGATCTATATAAAAATAGACCTACGAGGAGCATATAATCTAGTATGCATCAAAGAAGGAGATGAATAGAAGACTAAATTTTGAGCTAGGTATGGATATTTTGAATATGATATCATACTTTTTGGACTTGTAAATACACCAGTAGCTTTTCAACATCTTATGAATGATATTTTTCAAGAATTTTTGGACATTTTTATTGTCTGCTATCTAGATGACATCTTGATCTATTTTAAGAACATAGAAAAATATAAACTTCATATTTGTTGTGTATTACAAAAATTAAGAAATGCAAGACTCTATGCCAAGATAGAAAAGTGTCTATTCTATATTACTTAAGTTGACTTCTTAAGTTACATCATTTCAAATGATGGACTTATGATGGATCCTAAGAAAGTTCAAACTACTATGGATTGGAAGATTTCAAAAACAGTACAAGATATTCAATGTTTTTTGAGATTTGTCAACTACTATCGAATCTTCATCAAGAACTCTCAAGTTGTAGATCCTACATGTTTGACTTCTAAAGACAAACTTCAATGGAATTAAGAAGTAGAAGCAATATTTGAAGCTTTAAAGATAGTTTTTGTTTCTATACCAATCTTGTGTTGTATTGACTTTTTTAAGGCATTCTCTATAGAAATAAATGCATCAAAATTTGCTTTGGGTGCCGTATTATCAAAAATAGAAATAGATGATAAACTTCATTTAATAGCTTTTCATTTCTAAAAAAAATCAGCAATTAAGATTAACTATGAGATCTAAGACAAAGAGCTTCTTGCAATTGTAGATTCTTTTCAAGAATAGCAATATATTTAGAAAGCACTTTCAATCCAATCACTATATATGTAGATCACAAGAATCTCAAATACTTCATATCAACACATATTTTGAATTATTGCCAAGCATCTTGGAGCATGTTTTTATCAAGATTTGATTTCAAGATCACATATTGACTTAGAAAACAACAAGATTTGTCAGACTTCCTTTTTAGATGATCTTATTTTATATCAAAAGAAAAAAATATATATTTTAATCAACAAAGAATAATTTTCTTGAAGCCCAAGCATTTTCATCTTTAAATAATGAAATCAACATTGACTGTTGATTCAACCTTTGTCAAATATATTCAATCAAGTATGTCTTTTGATCTTCTTCTTCATGATATCAAGAATCTTTCTTTCAAGTTTCATGATGCTTCTAAATTTGAATTCAAAAACAACCTAATCTATTTCAAAAGATGCCTATATGTTACAAAAGGAGAAGCATGTTTATGTATTCTTTAAGCATACTACAATTTTTCAATAGCTCAATATTTTTAGATAAAATAAGACTTTAGAGCTAATATCTAAAGATTTTTGGTGGCTACAAATATGAAAGGCGGTCAAAGATTTTGTTCAATTATATGATATTTACTCAAAATCAAAAATTTTCCATCATTGACTTCATGGACTTTTTCAGTCATTACTTATTCCAAAACAACCATGGTCTTTTGTTTTTATAAATTTTGTGATGGATCTTTTAGTCTCAAGTTTGTATGATTTTATATTTGTGATAGTAAATCGTTTTAAAAAGATGGAACATTTTATACCATGTACAAAATCTATCATAGGTGAAAAATAGCCAAGCTTTTTGTTAACAATATCTATTGATATCATGGATTGCCTAAGGATATAATATTGGATAGGAAGACTCAATTTATATCAAGATTTTAGAAAATATTTTTTAAGTTTCTAAAGGTAGATGTAAAGCTATCTTTGGCCTTTCATTCTCAAATTGATAGATGGACAGAGCATGTAAACCAAGTTTTAGAATAGTATTTAAAATGTACAATTAATTACCAACAAAATGATTGAGAAATTCTTTTGCTATTGGTAAAATTTACTTATAATAATATGGTGTATTATTTTATGCAACAAACACCTTTCTTTGTCAATTATAGTTGTCATTTATAACTTGATATTTTTGACTTTTCAATAGTTGATAATCCTACAGAAAAAAATTAGGAAAATCTTTTCTTAGAGCTATATGCAACAATGAAAGCACAATTAAAGGAAGTTCAAGTGCAATAAAAGATTAATGCAAATGTCTATCAAAAAGAACAACTGTAATTTAATATGGGTGACAATGTATGGTTACTTTGTCGCAATATCAAGACTATTTATCCTTGTGATAAGTTTGACTATTGTAGGCTTAAACTTTTTTCTATTTTTGAACAAATCAATTCAATTGAATATTTTTTATACCTATTGAAATCAATAAAGATTCATCTTGTATTCTATGTGTATCTTTTTGAATCATATAAGATAGTGAATATAATAAGAAGAAGACAAGTGCCACTTCTTCCTATAAAAGTAGACAATAATAAAGAATTTGAAGTAGAAGAAGTCTTAAATTTAATTCGATGCCAAAATAGATTAGAATATCTTGTTCATTCATGTGGATAAGATATTAGTGGATGCACATGGGAGCCAACAAAGAATCTTGTAAATGCAAGGAAGAATTCTAGAAGCTTTTTACTAATAATATTCATTAAAACCAAGATAAAGATCTTTCTTATGAAAGAAACAAAATCTAGGCAAGATAATATTATACTATTTATTCTTATTGTAGCTACTTTGTATTTGTGACACTAAAGAGATAGAAAACCAATAACTAGCAGATTCAACTCAAGAACTTTTTTTTGCTGACCTACTAGACAAGACATTGTAATTGTTACAATCTTCAAGATGATGCAATGAAAATTAAGATCCTCAAGAATGACATATTCTTCCTTGAATAGATGGCAAGATACAATGCATTTGATATCATGATCTTAGAAGGAACTCCTAATGTTTGGTGATTTTACTAGACGTAGGAACAACTTTTGATATCAACAATTGTAGTTATTTATTTAGTGCATTGCTTTAAGATCTTAGTAGAATAAGTAATCAAGTGGCACTTGTAATTGGATGAACAAAAAGTTCAAATATCTCCTTGTATTATAATATTCTAATGAATCATAAACCATAAACTATCTAATTACTTATAAATAATTTTTTATATTTTATCTAAAATCTCAAATTTTGCATATATATATATATATATATATATTTAATAACTAAAGTTATTTTTACCAATATTTTAAAAACTTACAACAATTAGTTGCTTGTCAATGAACTATTCATAAAATTTGAAGTAACTACATAATATCTATGTTTGTATACATATATGGATGATGGATAGATTAAGGGAAAAAAATTAAAGTACAAGTTAGACACTTGTGTTGCAAAAAAAATCTTATACAAGATATTGTGTTCCTGTACAAGACTCCCAGATATTTTCAACATTCTTGATTATCTAGCAACACAGAAAAGTGAAGAACTAAGGTCAAAGTCAAAGATGCATTGTTTTTCACTTCTTAGAGGAAAGGGCATGCACTTCTTGCATTTTGAGTGGTATTAATATATGTATAGAAACAAGCAAATGCAATGCCGAAGGTTGGCATTGGAAATTACGACACTGATTTGGAATCTCTGCAGTATTAGATCACCAAATACTACAGCATCACTACATTACGAAGAAATATAAATTATGCCACACAGAGAACATATGAAAACATTGAAGAAAGTAGGAACAAATTGCATGTGCTCGTGAACACAATTGCTTGTGCTAGTAGAAATTCACTCTTTCTTTCATAAGTGACAAAAATAAATGGGATTGATATGGCGTAGGGCACCCTTTTCAGTATGGTATGTAGTATGCTTGTAACAATTCTGCAAAGTGAGAGTCTCAATCGAATCACTGGCTGCCATGATACATGCGGTGAAGCCTCCTCAAATCCCAGTATATTTTGGCCTGTGACAGGTAACTGATGATCCTTGCTGGGCCAGAAAGACTGGCTTCCACGAGGTTCCTTAGGAATGATTCAGAGGGCGCATATCCACGAGTGAGAATGATGAGTATTGAGCCTAACAGAGGAGTGGTGGTGATCAAAAAAGTGCCCCTTTTGATGCCAGACAAAGCAATTTTTGCAACTGTATCTGCAGGTTGAGAATAATTTGGGTTGTAAAATGAGGCCACCTGCATTCCTGCTTTTAACTCGTCCATATTGTCCGCTGAAACAGATGTAAATGTTGCACAATCAGAAGCAGATCGTTCCATGTCTTACAACTTCCGACAGACCAGGGATTGGCATGCACAAGGCAACTTCCTCATGAGGACCATCTATGGATCAAATATTGTGGTGAAAGTAATCTGTAAATATTGGTTCACTCACCAGCATTCAACATCGGTGTGTTGACAAATCCTGGACACACCAGACTAACACGAATGTTGTAAGGCGCAAGCTCCAAGCGCAAACACTCCGCTACGCCCTTGATGGCATACTTGGTTCCCGTGTACACTCCGTTGCCATACAACCAGCACTACACAGATTCGAAAAAATTGTGGCTTCACCAACCATCGGTTCATACATTAGATTTCAAATTGAGAGAACATGAACTCGGCATAGAATGTGTGTTTGTTTTTAACTCCTTATTGCAACACCATTCTATTTCTGCAACGTTGAATTAAATCCGCTGCTAATTTGCAGTAGGAGTAAGAATTACCTCTTAATTCGAATTCTAAGGGCCCTACACTAAATGTACTTCATGTTTGGCAACCGTACAACGATATCAAGGATATTTTTCGCATCATGTTTAGGTGAAAAATCTGCATAATATGACATTCTCTTACCAAAGATGCTAGGCTACCCATGAAGACGATGGAGACGGGGTGGTCGCGGCTTCGCAGCACGAGCTGGGGTAGCACCGCGTGCAAGGCGTACACTGACCCTAGAAAATTAGTCTGCACCACAGTTTGCAAGTCTCCTGCAGACAGGTCCTGAATGAGGCCACTTATTGTGACCCCAGCATTGTTAACCAATATATCGATGGGCCTCCAGTCAAATGAATCCTTCACTGCTGTGGAAATAGCTGTGTAATCTGCCACATCTGCTGCCTGAGTTTCACAAATCCATAATGAGAGATCAAAATGTCATACGTAACATTTATGAATGGAATAATTTGGGCAGGATCAATATCTGTGAAGTTCGCTTATGCACGCTCTATTGCAGCATTCTATAAATTCGCCATTTCATATGAAAATTGAGACTTTCGAACATCGAAGGTTCAAGCTAATGTCTTCTATTACCTTCACCAGCAATCGATCCTCGGAACAGTCTAGCTCCTTAAGCAAAGACATCGCCACTTTGGTCATTCTTTCACTATTTCTAGCCACAAGAGTAAGGTATGCTCCTTCTTGAAGAGCTTGCTTGGCTATTTCCAAGCCTATGCCACTGGAGGCACCAGTCAGAAATACATGCTTACCGCGAAGGTTGGACATAAAGGGTTTTCTCGGCTTCAACACAAGTATAAGACATAACGTAACTACAACGCCTATGGCAATCCATGAAAAATGAAAATACATTTTTTAACACCGCTCCGCTTGCTTTCAACGACCCGTGAGCACCAAACGGCGTGCTTAATATCTGGTACGCTTGCAGTGCGTTACACTAATTCTGCAAGAAAAGAACAGCAGCAGACTTCATCATAATCAAAGGGCTAGATGAAAATTGAATTTATGAAAACAACAAGGTAAACTGCGCTAATGAGACGTTAAACACGGCCGAGATGAAGTGAGAAGTTACATGCCGGATAGCTTACCCACCTCGAGATTGACTCGCCTCTACGAAGAGTAGTGATCGCAAGGTCTACTTAAGAAAAAAGTTGAGTGTGAGTACCGAAGTGCACACAAATTCGATTTTCAACAAACTGACACTTGAGCAACACAGGGCTTTTCGTACTGAAGCGAGTACAATGCACAAGCTTATATAGAGTGTCCCTCTTAGAACATGAACCACGTCAGGATAGACGATGCATGCTAAGAAAGGAAGCACTTCCACTACCTACAGAGCCGTCGCTGTTCAATGCAGAGAGCTAATCACAGCTACAATGGACACTTGAACAACGATCATCCATTTCTTCCGCAGCTTATTCACTACAACAAGCACTTCAGTACTCACTACCAGCCGCCTATTTCTAATCCTCTTCGTTCTTTCCATCTCCAAAAAATAAACACCCGACACACATACAAGCGTCGCAACAATCAATAGCCTGGTAAAAAAATCTCGAAGGTTTCTTGAGCAGTTTTCGAATGCAGTAAAACAAATGTCAGATACCATCCACTATCGTCTGTGATTCACCGATGACAAGTCACAATGGCAACAACTGTAGAAACCATCATTCACTCACTCAGCTCTTCTCTTTCTGATAATCTCCTCCACCCGCCGTTTTAATTTTTTTTTTATCAGCACAACAATTCGTTGAATCTGGCGTCTCGTCCTCCAAGGTACTCAAGCCCTCCACCAGCACTACTGACTCCGACGTTGACCCCTCAGTGAACCAATACCTCTTGGATTTCTTCTGGACTGATCCCCAATCTTTAGCAGTGACGAAAACTTATCTTCTGGACTGCGAATCGACTAAAATTCAAGTAAAAGGTTACACGACACTTTATCATCCGCTCAACAAAGAATTGAAGCCATCTCGTCGTGCACTCAACGCTTACGTTACCTTGCATTGCCTTGCCTCGCCTCAGCCAGGATTTTTTTTAATGAACATCAAGAGATAAGCTCGTTTCCCTGACATGCAATAAGATTGAAACCAAGGCAATAGACAAGCAGTGATAATCAAATTACCGGAACATCTTAGATGATACGTTAATCCATCCCTCGGAGTTAATCGAAGACTCGTCCAAGCGAGAGAGATAGAGCATTGAAGGAAAGCTCAATGATTCGTAGGCAATGCTGTAATAAGAACTCCGTTTCTGTTTCCGTGACGACGTTCATCACAGCGACGCCAATTTAAGGCTTGTGAGCTCGTAGACCATGACGAGATCATGCCAGCAGCAGCAGCACAGCAATTAGCAGAAAAGGCAATTAAGTTCACCGAGCTCACAAGCCTCAGTGTCGCGCCGCAGCGACTAACACCATCTCGGAACCAGCACAGCAATTCGCAGCATGCAAACGAAGACAAGAGCCAATAGCCACGAGATTAACTGAAAATGTTCGTGGCTGCCATCGGGCATGTCCTGAGGTTTAGCACTTGTTGCCCGCAACCTAACCCCTCGCAAATATTGCATGTTTAACAACAAATGGCTAAAACCCTTGGATGGCGATGAAAACTGCTTTCGTCTGTTCGTTCAGTCGAGTGTCATTGGTTTGTTGGGGTCCAATGAAGTTAAGAGTGGATTTATTGAATCATTATTTTATTTTTTGTGTTTATTTTTATAATTCTCCTGATTCTTTTCTTACTTGCAATATTTATAAATTTTCCCAATTTTTATTTATTTTTATTTTTAAGAGATCTAGGCAAAATAATAATAACAATTATGAATGTAAATGTCAATATAACTATAACTCAAGCTACATCCACACCTCAAGTTGCTACAAGCACATCCTAAATTGCTATATACACATCTAAGAAATAGAGGCCTCTAATTCATTGGTTTGGTAATTTGACCACCAATTGACCACAAATCAACTATATAATTGATCACCAATTGCTCTTGCTGCAACTCACTATGCACTAAATCTCAAACCTCATCCTTCTCTTCCTTGTCTTGGCACAAGTCTTGGACCTTTTTTCTCTCTTCCTTCTCATGGTGTGAGTCCTAGACTTCCTTCCCCTATTCTTTGTTCTGGCATAAAATAATAGATCAAAATAAAATAAAAAATAGAGTGTTTTAAAAGAATAATAATATAAAAATAATATGAATTGTTTTACACATACCAACCCATCAAAATAAACACATGCATGTATATATATTACAATGTATAATATTTTAGTCCTTGCTCATACAATCAACAAGTCCTTTTAGCAATCAAAAACTAACATGTATTATCAATTCACAGCCAAAATAGAACTCATCAAAGCTCAAACCATGGCATCAAGCTCGGCTATTAGGGCTACGTGGCATCAACACTGGCCATGTGGCGTCTCACGCTTGTGCTCTCTTGCCACATAGTCTTGTGCAGTTCGTCGCAGCGGCGATGCTCGAGCTGTGTCTGTGCCGCAGGACTGCGACGACGAAGCCGATCCATGGCCACTTACCTTATCGCCGAAGCAGGAGCAACGGAGCCATGACCACGTTCAATGCTCAACCACCTGGGTGCATGTAGCGTTGCGGTGCCCAGTCTCCGCTTCACAGACCTTCCGCACGTGGAGAGCAGGCCTCCTTTATGACTTTGGACTTGCGGGGGGGTTTCCTGTCGGAATGATTTAATGCTGCGAAGCTGGAGAGATTACGAGTTCTTTCGGAGCTTCGTGGTGGGATTCAAGGTGGATTCAAGGCCCGCGGATCGGATTACTCTTTCCGCCCTTTTGCATTGCAGCCTTTGACAGCTTTTCCAGCCGAGGATGGTTATGGTTGCATGCTTATGGTCTGCGGGGTAGGTGAGGAATCAAGTCGGAGGACTAATTCATGGAGACCAGAAACTGGATTTCGAAAACGATGGCATGAACGCTGGTCTGGTTGTGTTGGGTTGTATTTCGTCCACTGGAACGATGTCATGTTACTCCCTCGATCAGGGTTTGTTGGGAGGTGTTTTTCGGGAATATCCAGACTAGAACTCTCAACTACTGAGAGCTCCACCCATTCTGCTAAGTAATGAGACGACACCTTGCAACTGACAGCAACCTTCAGATCAATCGGAGTTCTTTGGCTGGATTCGTCCGATTGAATCAACCACATTAATTTCGAAGCTCATGCATTGGCAGGTATGGCGGAGGGTTCCGTGGTCTCCGTCGGTCTGTTACAGAACACAGAGACTGATCAGACTCTCTCCCGCTTCATCGACGAGGTGAAGTGGATTGAATGGAAACGGACTCGATTCATGTTCATCTGCACTTTAGCGAACAGCGTTGAGGCAACTTAGCGTTGAGGCAACTCAGCTTTGATGCACACACAACCCATTGGAATGCCACCGAAAACGTTGCACGTGATGTTGGCATCATGTTTTTCTTACAATGTGGACTTGTGGGTTCAATTCCACAACATTGTGATCTCTAAATCTGGCCGTCACCAAATGGAATAGAAACTTTCGGGAAGCATGATAACACGTAGAAATAGAAATATTTGTGGAGGTGTAATAAAATACAATGAAAACAAAATCTATTTTCTGGATTGGATAAAACATCGCAATCAATTTCATGCTCCAAATTAAGAATCTCGAATCGAAAATAAGAGTGTTTGTTTCAGATGCAATACTCTTTGCCCGCTACGTTTGTGCTAGGATTTTATTTCACTTTATGGTTATGTTTTCTAACCTCTGTAAGTTATCAAATAGCAAAGCAAAAACAATCAGAAAAGTTTTTGGCCGTGTCTATAATCTGTTTTGGCATGTGACTTGGGAGATTTAAATTAATTTATGAGGTGGGTTGTTGAAAAGTTAAAAAACTTGATTCTCAAACAACAGTCTATGAAATATATCACTATTCATTCGTTTCGATCATCAAAGTCACATCGTTGATGGTTTACGTGTTGGATCACGATTGTGACCTCGATTGCTCGCGGGAAGCGTAACGAGATGCACGACGTTTTCTCCTAAGGTTCTTATCGCACCGATTTAGAGACGCAGCTGCAGGGGTGGGCGGGGAAGAATTCGCGAGACGTGAGGGGTTTTTGAGGTCGCAGCAGGGATTTGCGGGAATTTTCTTTAGAGTTTTTTTGTGGGGGCTTAGGGTGTATGTGAGAATCGAGAAGAGATGGAGGTGCTGAGCAGCAAACTGCCGAACATCAGGCATCGAACGGTGAAGACGAACGGCATCAGCATGCACATTGTAGAGCAAGGCGAAGGGCCCATGGTGCTGCTCCTCCATGGATTCCCCGAATTCTGGTACTCATGGCGCTTCCAGATTCCCGCTCTGGCTGAGGCGGGGTACCGCGTGGTGGCGCCTGATGTGCGAGGCTATGGGGAGACGGATGCCCCCAAGAACCCGCATGTGTACACTTCGTGCCATCTCGTGGGTGATTTGGTCGGACTCCTGGACGCTCTCGAGGAGAAGCGCGTGTTCGTGGTGGGACATGACTGGGGCGCCAAGCTTGCGTGGGATCTTTGTCTGCTGAGGCCGGATTGTGTGAAGGCCGTGATCTGCTTGAGTGTTCCGTTCTTCCCCCGATCGCCGAAGCGGAGTTCCATTCGCGGATACTACGAGACCGTCGGGGAGGGCTTTTACATGTGCAGGTGGATGTTTTCTCCTCTAAATGATGTGATTCTAAAACTAGGTCTTGATTGTGTCTCCTGAAATTGACGTTTAATGTTGTACTCGGGAACCGAGTGGGTGTTTACCTAGAAGCACAAAAATTCTTTGAGTTTTCGTTTCTTGTCAACACACAGGTGATGGGTAACCAAATGGTTGACGAGAAATTCGCACTTTTCCATAGTTTCGTGAACCATGCACGCCATGGCCGTGTGAGAATAGAGATATGGTGTGTTGCCATGAAAGGAAAATTGCCATGAAACCCTATGAGCGTGGAAAACGTCGCGCATTTCAAACAGGAGTTTGTGTGAAGAGGTGTACCAAGTTAGGACGATTATCGACAAAATACTTGCCTCGAGATACGGTGCCACGAAGTATGCTGTATTCTTTCTTGCCCACCGTCCAATTTAGTTCCAGCACCATATGGCAACCCATGACGATTCTGACACACAGCTTGCTGCTCGTTTGGGGCCATTTGCAGATTCCAGAAACCTGGTCGTGCAGAAAGGGACTTTGCACGAATAGGGACAACTGCCACCCTGTCCAAGCTCCTTTTCCCGCCACGAAACAGCTTCATTGCCCCAAAAGATAAGGAGCTGATGGAGTCGATTCCCATGCCGAAGAAGCTGCCCGCGTGGATATCAGATGCAGACCTTCGATACTATGCACAGACTTATGAGAAATCTGGGTGGACTGGCGCACTGAACGTGTACCGCGCCATCGAAAAGAGCTGGGAGCTGCAGTCGCCGTGGACAAATGTAGGAGTGAAGACTGCGGCATTGTTTATTGTAGGTGACAAGGATCTTGTGATGGGGTTTCCTGGAGTGAAATCATATGTAAACAAAAATTTCAAGTCCTTTGTTCCCAATTTGAAGGAAGTTGTGACGCTGAAGGGCGGTCACTTTATACAGCAAGAGCAGCCAGCAAGAGTGAACGAGCTGATTATCACATTCCTTCATGAGCAAACCTTGGCCTCGAGCTCCAGATTGTAATATTCACTTGTTAGGGTTTCAAGAAGTCTCTTGCACACGCATGTTTGCGTCAGTAATACTTCTAAATCAGAAGTGCTGTGAATTGGACCCTTGTGTATATGCGTTTCATACCTGAGATCTGGTAGTCCCTTCATCTTTGTTATTGAAAATTGAGAACTTGATTTGTCGAAACTTGAACAAGATGTGCACAACAGAGCTAATGTCGGAGGCACCAGAGAAATAAAAGCCCTAAGTGAGCCAAAGGTCTACAATATAATATAAATTGGTTTTTTAGTTCATAGCGAAACTTCAGAAATTAGAGAGTCATCGAATCCATCACACAATGTGCCCTCACTTCCAAGTTTATGAAGCAGCGCTACTGCAGAGAAACGTAGTCTTCCGCAAGAAAATCCCAGGATTGCAAGCACTAAGTTACAAAAGCTCCATTCCGCAACAAACTGGAAAGTGAGACCACCATGGGCCCAATCACAATCACACCATTATGCAGAACACCCAGATAGGAAAGAACCAAGCTTACGATGTCGACTGACTAGTCGCCTGCACGTTACAGTCAAATTGGTTTCCAGTGATAGGTTCCTGAACATGTTCTTGACGTGTCCCTTCAGATTCTTTGGAGGAAAATTGACAGGTTGTTTCGTTTCATTGGTTTCTGTTGATAATCAAACAGGTATCATTCTTGCCGGTCCAGTGTTGCCAAACATAAAAAAATTGAACGAAAATTTCAGATAGATTCGAAGTGACCCAACTTATACTACCCCCCGCATCATTCCACCAGTCAAAAACGCAATTTAAGCCATTTATCACGTCAAAAAGGTGTATCTTCTCGTTGACAAATTAAAGGTGGTTGAACAAACATGGATAGCCTTGATGGTAAAGGCTCTTACGAAGTATGTTACTTGGGCAAAACTGTGGAATGCGTTGTGAACCTGCAGCAAACTGACTCTGATCATCCTCCGTAAATCCTTATGTACTAAATTCAATGCAATCTCAAACCTTTGAAAAATACAGTGCAACGTAACCACGATACGCCTTACCACCTGCATACATCACCACCTAACACCAGGCCACCGAAGCGGCAAGTAGCAGCATGCAGTTGGTTGGGTAACGAGAGGTAAAGTAGCGGGCCATGGGCTTCAAATTTAATTCACGTTGTTTATGCCTTTGCACTACAAGAATCCAATGCTGGTCGTGATAGTTGGTGTGGCCAAAATGAAAAATTCTGTGAACAAGAATTTCGGAAAATTCAATACGAAGCTTTTTCCTAAAAAATTCCCAACACATAAAGCTTGCTGTTTCGCACTAACCGCTTGCACCATAGAACAATCTAGATGCAAGGAGGTGAACAAAGGTGACTATAACCATGAAATCGGCAGATCAATCAAAGTAAATAAATGAATAAAGATAAACGCAATGCACATACCGAGGCATGTAAGCTTTTAAACCAAAACGCCTTGAGCAGCGCTTTCCTTCCCAGACATCGTCGGCACAGCATCATCGCCTTTGCGCACCTTGATCTTGTACTTAGCCTCGAACTCGGCGAACTCCTTTGTTTTCTTCTCCATCGCCTCCATGAGTCGACTAATCACTTCTTGCAAACCTTCCTTGTTCCGATTTACAGCAGGCAGCACCTCCCCCACTGTGCGCTCAACCAAAACACCTCCGATCATGCGAAAACACTTCCTACCCGGGTCCAGCGGCTGGATGGCGTTGATCACTAGCTGATGCTCATTGAGCTCCTGCTCTAGCTCATTAATCTTACTATACAACTGATTAAGCTCGGAACGCATGAAATTCCACTTCCCTGCCACTGCTTGCTCGCTCATCATCTCCATTTTATCCGCCCCGATTTCCGCCATCTCTCTACGACACCTCTCCAACAATTAATCCAAATATTCCTTCCTTAACTATCGACCCCTCCAAATTCGAAACCGCCTCCCTCTTGATCAAGAAAAACAAAAAAACAAAAAAACAATAACCCTAACACAAGACCAACCCTCAAAAATCCTAAACACAAACTCCCAGAGAAGATTTCAATTAATCCAAAGCAGAATTTCTTGAAGCGAGGAAATCTTCAAACCACAATGTGTACGTCCCTGCAACCGAATGCTCCAATCGAAGCTCCTCGCAAATCCAAAGGAAGCCGTTCAGCATCGGTCAGCTCTGGCCTCGCACGGCACCTGCGAGAAGGGACATTCTCGAGGATGTTCACACTCAAATGAGCAGAGGAGATGAACGAACGAACGAACGAACGAATTAATTAATTAAAACTGGAGTGATATGGATGGAAGTGTGGATGACTTATGGATGAAGACCTCCAATTCCGATCCCCCCCCTAAGTGAGGTTGATGTCGATGGGCGAAGTGCTGTTGGTGGGCATGGGCCCTATGCCCGTGTCCACGGTGGAATCGTTCTGAGACGAGGTCCTAAACCCGGGAAAAGCCACCTGAATTGACCACCTCTTTCCATTGTGCCCATGCATCATCGACCAGTGTGGTTGCCTTCGACGTTTAAATGTTATGAATGGATGAAAGTTGTGAATAGATGTATTTTGTGGGGATGTGTGGATGAATGGTGTCAATGGTGATGGGCGGACTTACCCTATGCCCGAGCCTTTTGACTTCCCCCACAAAGGCTACAAATAATATGTGGGTGCTAGCCAAACCATGTTATCACAAGAAGAAAAGGTTTCAAATTGCGACAGTGCATGCGATCCCTTCTAAGTTTTCCTTATCACCCACTTCACAATGAATACATGTTAATGATCATACTTTCTAATAAATAAGGTACCCTAATTTGTACATAAATTTGTACATCAACATGTATTGAAGCAAAGCTAGAATAGTTTTGTACAAAAGGAAAGTTTTTTTATTTTTTATTGTGAATCCATCAATTTTGTTCTCTTATAAGTTGTTTAAATTGTTTTGTTTATGGAACTCTTCTCAAAAGTATCAATATTATAAATTAATAATACTATTTATAGTTTATCATTTGAGTTACTAAGCAAATCATGGGTCTTATCTTTGAAGAAATTTAATGCACAACTTCAAATATAATTATTTGTCTTGATTTGTGATCATAAGTTACTTATTTTATATTAAAAAAACAAAAAAAAACAAACAACTATCAATCAACTTTTCAAAACATGTTAATGATCAGATTCAAGTCTGAAGTCTTAAGTAGTCAGTTCAATGATGTAATCTTTTTTTCACTAGTACCTGACTTTGCTCTCAATGTGGCAATCAGTTTTATTTCATAAAAAAATACACTGCAGATTTGACAAACCATTTATTGCTGCATATATACAGATATATACAGATATCTATATATATATATATATATATACACACACAAACACACATCTTCAAAAAATCACGGTTATTAAAAAATATTCAACAATTTTTTTGGTGTCTTTCTGAGATAGAGTGCCATATTTATGCTCTCTAATCATGGCTAGAAAGGTTTAAAATGTATAAAGTTAGTTGAACGGAAATTTATTCATATGTTTTAAAACCAATAGACGTTATGCGAAATAATTGAATACTGTATGATAACATAAGTTATTTGCAAAGTAAAATACAACACAAAAAAAGGTTTGGACGTATTTAACACATGTGCATATCAGCAAAATAAGAATAAATAAATATTGTTAATTCAGATTTACAGTTGGTAATTTAGACTGTGATTAATTTATATAATTTAAATTCCATGGCTCACTTTAAAAGAATTTACAGAAAACGTTATTTGGAAATAAATGAATAAAAGTAATAATTAATGTTTATTTTCATTTTATACTAAAAGTCTGAAAATTATATGTATATGAACAGTACTTACAAAAAAGTCACTTCTTAAAGAATGTAATGATACAGAGAATCATGGTATTGATTTATGAGGTTTCAGATGTCATATATGTGCATATATGTGTAAAGCCTAAATATGGAATGCATATAAGGTCCAAACACAGCATATATGTAAAGCTCATATCAAGACAAAAACCGATTGGAAATAGAATATCATACAATCGCTGTTCGTTTAAAAGAAGCATTAATGTGGACATGAAGGTTTGAAAAAAAATTTCAAAGAAAAAGATTCTTAAAAATACAGAATGCAATTCTAGAAATCTAAGTTCAAGATTACTAGGACAAGCATTACACTTTTGGGAAAGACTGTATTCGTTTATTTCTTTCTTTGTTTTGATATGATAATGAAGATTTTATTTTTTACTTTTTTATCGTGGTACTTTTTTCTGTCTACATTCACATTGTACACAATTTTAGGCATTGAATAACATTTAAAATCCATAGTAGAATTTCAACAATCTTTCAAAACTATGTTCAACTTTACATACTTAAAATAAATATGCAGGGTATCTGTGTTTATTTCAAAATAAAAATTGTGATTATTTTAAGGAAAATACAGCAATAAATTATTTATCTTGTAAGTATCATAAATTGTCTAGTTATATAATATATATATATATATATATATATATATATGTGTGTGTGTATTTATTGACAGATTATAAGTTTTCTTTCCAAATTCGTTTCATTTTTTAAACACGTTTTTTAGAGTTACAAAGTCACCACATGCTCTTTGAAAGGTTCTACATGTTTATAACTATTTAAAATAAATACACATGAATATTGGAACCACTATTATGAATAATAGCAGTACAGAGATAGACAATTGTTTACAATGTCAACAAGTTTTATGAGTTTTGTTTGTATTTTGGTTTCATATTCATCATGTGCTTTTGGATAGCATACATAATATTCGGAACATTCTGTTTTGTTTTGTTTTGTTTGTTTGTTTGTATTTTTTGTTTTTTTTTTATTGCATCATTCCAAAAACATGGTATTGTCGTGTATAACATTAAACTACATTTTTTGTATTAGTATATATATTTTTAGTCAGATTTTGATATGGTGTTGCAATTTATTGATTTTTTTACAAATGATTGTATATTTTTAGTTACTTATTTTTTTACTTTCCTTTTAGAGTATAAAATTCGTTGTTTATAAGAAAACATGTCTTTGTTTCAGTTTTGTAGAATCTTCTGTACAATTGATGAATAATTGTTTTGAAATCTATTTGATTAACTTTGTTTTATGAGCAACCATGTAGACTATACCATATCAATACAAACTAATAAATTATAAGAAATAAGAAATAAATGAAATTTGTTTAAAAACTAATACAATGTTTATCAATGCATGAAAATACTATTTTTTGATAAAATTATAATACTATTGGGTTTCTTTAAAATAGAGAACAAAATTGGGTGGCATTTTGTATTAATTTGTGAAACATCTACAAAACTTATTCATTGAAATTAAATATTAGTTAACAAAACGAATCTTGTAGTGGTCGTGGTATTTCACTGTTAAAACTACCAAATAAGTAAATAAAATAGAATAAATCTGCAGAAAATATCTCACGGTATTATTTAAATCATATCCAATCAACCTATGTTTAAAAAGTTTTGCCCCTAAAAATGTTGGTGAAGTGTGTTTAAAAGACACACGATAAACTATTTTGGAGAATACCAAGAGATTCATTCCCATGAAAACTAAAGGCTCCAAAGAAAAGCTTATCACATGCTAAAATTCCAAGACGAACCCACAAACACGACTTCTGATAAACATGAATGAATGCGTGTGTGTATTGTAATGTTGAGGAATGATATGCATGGCATCTACAACCAGGCGGTAAAAACCCCGATTCACACGGCAGAGGAAGGGCGGGAGGGCACCACCCTCGAGGCAATGGATGGCCACGTTCCCCTTCAAATGGGAGAGGGAGGGGAACAAGGGAACCCCGTTCGGGAAGTAGTCGTTCACCAGTGGAGCACGCCGAGGGAACTGACAAGGACTCTGGAAAAGGGAGGGAACGGCATGAGAGAGCCCACGGTCAAGGGTCGAGTCGAGTCCAGTCGAGCCGAGAATGAGCAAGTGAGCAAGATGAGTGAGTGCGTGGTAACCGGTGACCACGGAGGAAGTGAAGCCAGCCCGGTAGCCGGGCGAGAGGGAGGGAAGCGGACGCAAGCCAGACAGGGAAAGGGATGGGAAAGGGGGAAGTGGGGAAAGGGAAAGCTCGAGGGGGCCCATATTTGGTGCGAGCAGAGAGAGTTTTGAAGCGGAGTTGGGCTGGCCATGGCGTCCGCCTGCCGCTAAGCTAGCTAGCTGACAAGAGGGAGGAAGGAAGGAAGGAAGGAAGGAATTATTATTAACAACAACAATACCACACACACTTACCTGGTCGGACGGATTGGACGACGAGAACGGATTTCTGCGGTTGCGGCGAATGCATCCCTCTCCCGCAGGAGGAGCTGAGTGGGTCAGCAGCGTTTGTTGGGTTCAGAGGGGTGGGTGGTTGTGAGAAAGCGGAAAAAAGGTTCGTGCTGCGATGTGCAGAGAGAGAGAGAATCAGGGTTTGCCTGGGATAGTGATGTAGGGGAGTGAGTTTTAGGGTGCGTTTCGGGCGTTTTCTGTTTATTGAATTGGTGGGTCCGAGGGCGGAATACGTGGGTTTGAAGGGGGTGCTAGTGTGGGTGTGTGCATGGGCCGGAGGGACTTGCCGGCCTTGGGAAGGACGTCGCTCAGGGAGAAAACGCGGAAGGTTTAGGGGGGGAGATACAAAGTGGTGGGAGCTCGTGGGGTGAGTTTTGGTGGCAATCATGTCTAAGAACAAAGACAAAGAGGGGGAGTTGATCGATATTGGCAAGAAGCTGGGGAAATCGCAAACGAAGGATGCTCTGGTCAAGCTGCTCGTGGTAAGTAGTTATGTTTTCGAAAAGGGAAATATTTTCCTCTTTGAGTTGAAAATTATCGTGGAGTTGGTTCTTTTGATACAGTTAAGAGTTTTAGTGCATTGTAGTCGCCGCGGGTGACATAGCAATAATTTTGAGTAGCACTTGGGCTTTGGGTGTCCTTGTCTCCCAAAGCTCAGTATTTTACCGATAAGGAATCATATAGGGAATGAAGCACCAGGTAGCACTCTCACTCAACAGAAGGTTAGGGTGAGTTTGGAGAAGGAAATCGTTCGATTACAACTGCCGTTGGAATGCCTTTCCCAAGGACTTTAAAAAAAATAATGGTTGGGGAGGTCTCTATATTCCTCTAACTTCATGGAGCATCAGAGGGGTGCAGAGTCCAGGAAAACACCTGTTTCTGTTGTTGTTATCGTTATTGCAACGCAGCGCCTGCGATGTAAAAGTTGGTCAATGTGCAAACGATGGGCGATAGCGTTCGTGGAGTTGTGTTTATCAACAATAATATTGCGGAATCTCGAATATACAAAAGATACTGGTAGTACTTGAAAGTCTTAGAAAGGTTTTATAATGTGAGTCTGCAGACGGGGTGCTTAAATTCTTGCTGGTTCTTTTCAGTCTCGACAGAAACTTTTCAGCCATTATTTGCATTTGGAGCTGCAGTACCGAACCAGTTCCTTGTTAGGTATATTGTAGAAGTAGTATGCAGAAGCTAGATGTTATTTGGCAAAAACTTCTAACGTAGTTAAAATGAGCATATTTCAGTACGGTAGTTTAGACAAAAATACTGTCAGAAATCTCAAGTGGAAGCAACATCATTACCCTAGCAGGGGTTTGAACAGTATCTGTGGACACTGAAATGGTATGCTCGGTGTGAGCAATCTTAGGTAGGGTTTTGACTCGGGCCATTTACGTGGACACTAAGTTGCCATTATTTCCATCATCTGTCTGATTCTAAGCATAGTCATCGCCTCTTGTTAGTTGCGTTTTTATGGGTCTCGTCCGTAACAGCCCTTGCCCTTTAGTGTGAGCATTTTCAGTACTTGCAATTTTTACTATGTCTGGCCTCCTATCCTTTTGGTCAAGGTATTTTAGGACTGGTCGTTTCATATGTTGGGAAAACCCTTAGGGTTTGAATCCCATCCTTACCGGCTGTGGTTTCTACCCGTTCGGGTAATCTTTTACCTCATTTTTGGTATAGTTTCTTTTTAAATGCATGAATGTTTTCGGGTATCTTATGCTCTTTTCTTTTGAAGTCTTCTTCTTATCATATTCCTGCGTTCATGCGTTCTTTGGAAAATGTCACTAGATGAGCGTTCTGCATGGTAATAAGATGTCTGAAATTTAGTAATTTGACTATAGCTTCCTCTTTTATTCTTGCATTTAAGTATTCTTGCCGCAGTGGACATTTTTTTCTTTATTTCTTGGCCGCTACACTTTTCTATTCGAATACTATTGCCTTTGTGTCCATGGGTTCTGATGATTCATTTTAAGTTTCTCGAGATTTTAACGGAGTCATTTTCTGTCCTTGCAGCAATCTTCAGCTTTACTTGCAGAGTTGGATCAATCGCCCCCTCAAAGCACTCACAATGCGATGAAAGGATGTTCCGAAGCTCTAGTGTCTCCAGCTTTGTTGAGACACAAAGACAATGAAGTTGGGTTGCTTGTTGCCATCTGCCTCAGTGAAATTATGAGAATCGTGGCTCCTGATGCTCCTTACAGTGATGAAACCCTGAAGGTAGTTTTGTTCTCACGTTCCCATATGGCACTCTGGAGCCTCTGCGATGTTCTTGCTCTTCTATCAAAAATGCCTTGTTGAACTGTTCTTCTTTGTGTATATTTTTGAGATATTTGTTGCCCAAAACGCTGCCTTTCGGGTTTTCATTGTTTCTAGCTCAAAAACATAGCTCCTTTTGTTGGTTTATTCGCAGGAGATATTTCAACTTATTGTGACAAATTTCAAAGGCCTTGATGATGTAAACAGCTCTTCATTTGCAAGGAGAGTGAATATTTTGGAGACAGTTGCGAAGGTCAGGTCATGTGTAGTGATGCTGGATTTGGAATGCGATGATCTTATATTGGAGATGTTTGAGATCTTCTTTGACACTGCAAGGTGCGTATGAATCACCTAATTACATGAAATATTTAAGAAGACACATTGGTGTTTCTGTACCTTTCCTTGTCGTTTCATACTGTTTCTTATCGTAGTCAGGGTGTCGTAAAGCTCTGCTTTTGTGCGACTACTGATATAGCTGTAGATGAAATAAAAACATACCCGTGTTAACTTTCGCAGCGTTGATCATCCTCAAAATGTCTTCGTGGCAATGAGAAATATCTTGAGTCTTGTTTTGGAGGAAAGCGAAAAGATTCCTACTGAAATTCTGGAGGTCATTCTCAAGAATTTGTTGAAGACAAACAAGGTAAGTTCTTTGAAAATTAAAACTAGTTGGGTTGTTTCTCACGTCATTATCTTAGCAACTTTTGGTGGACGGTATCTATTTTCTGACTCATTTAATGATTACTTGTATGAAAATTATTTGGTTCAATTTTGCATTTTGTCTTCCTTCTTTTCTTCTGTATTATTCTGTCAAAATTGACTTTCACCAATCTTCGCCGTGGGTAATGCTCCGTTCACTCCCGCCATTGAGTGTTGTTTTCCCTGAAATATGCATTGAATTTGATGTGATTGTTTTCTTTGGATTGTTTTGTGAACAGGAGGGATCGGCTGCACGCAAATTGGCAATTGCAGTCGTAGAAAGGAGTGCTGACAAGTTGGAGCCTTATGTGCGGAGCTTTCTGACATCTGTTATGGTGGAAGGGAAGAGTTTTAAGAGTGGACTTCATAAGGATCATCATCAAGTTATATCTGAACTCTATGGTTGTGCCCCTCAGTTGCTTTCAGGCGTCACACCCAACATTAATGACGAGCTCGTGGTACAGTCCATATCTCTTGTTTTGTAATTTGATCACGCGCTTTGTTTGCGTGATTGTGTCTCCTTCCGACGTTCTTGCAAGTATTTCATACGGCTGCTTGACTCTAGGCTGATTCATTCAACAGTACTGAAGTGTTCTAGTGTTGAATTGCAGAAAGATAAAGTAGACGTACGTTTAAAAGCAGTTGAACTCTTAGGACGACTGTTCGCTTTTCCAGGCCGACAATTCGCACAGGATTATCCACTTGTGTTTTCAGAGTTTCTGAAGCGGTTCAGTGATAAAGTAGCTGACGTTCGAGTAGCAGTGGTCAACTGTGCTAAAGCCTACGTGGAGGCAAATCCTTCGGGCGAGCAAGCGAATGAAATTTTGGGTGAGTTTTAAAAATAGATCATTGGTCTGTTCAGGCAAGTCTGGCTGGGCCTTGGATGCATATCCTTGTATCATCTTGATCGCGAATGAGAAACGAAGGCATGTAAATAGGCGGATTTCTCGGTTATCTTGCATATCGATTGACTGCTTTCTTGACCACAAAGCTCGTAAAAAATCGTTTAAATTTTGGACTCTTCTCAGTACCATTGTATGCTGGTTGTGTAGTATGCTTGTGAGCTGTGTTGTTTTTTGTTTTTTGACCATAATAACTATGAAAACCATGGATTTTATTTCTTTACTTATTTTTGAACATTCGTGGAGCTGTACATTTGCTATCTTCTAATTTGGTGTTGATGACGCGGTTGGGTTTGCAGCTGCATTGCAAGATCGACTTCTGGATTATGATGAGAAAGTCCGTGTGGCTGTGGTGGAAGCTTTCTACGACCTGGCTATATCTGATTTGAAGTACGTTCCTGTTGATGTATTGCGCAAAGTTTCTGAGCGGATTCGGGATAAGAAGGTACATAATTTATACTCTATAGTTTACATCTGTGAAATCTCAATGTATTGCTTTGAGAATTTGATCGCTGAGTTTCTCTATCTTCCAGCCAAGTAGATCTTAGCTTTACCATGCTAAATACAAAACTCCAAAATTTTTCAACTTGCTCATGTGAAGTTTTCTTTCACTGCTTTCTGCTGACAGTGTATGCAGAAAATAAGAACATCACTAATTGGAAGAACCAACTGTTGCAAATAGCTTAATGTGTCATTTTTGTCTGTGCAACCGACCTCTAACCCGCAGTATGCTTGCTACTCATTTCGCAATTCTCTATGTATAGCCTGGCGTTCGAAAGATTACTGTGTTGAAGTCGTTGGAGCTGTATAAATCGTACTGCACCAAATGCACTGAAGGCTCCATAGCTCTTGATAAGGAGTATGAATGGATACCGGGCAAGATTCTACGTTGCTCAAATGATAAGGAGTATGTTTCATACTTTTACTATTCATGTGGAGGTCTTTGTTGATGTACTAGTATGTTTAATTTTGTACAATAAACTGAGGAAGTCCATTCCTCCTTGGCAAATATGGACCTCAATGTAAATTAACCATTAAGCGTATGTGTGTTGTGAGTTCGTCGAGCCTATTGTCATGTGCATAAACTTGAACCTGGATCGTTGTGGGTACTCCACAACAATCATTAGGTCACTGAATCCTTCACTTAGGCTGGTTAGTTACACCCATAAACGGTTTGTCCCTCTCGTTGACAGTGACCTTTGCTTGACAGAATTTATGGCTTGGAGATTGTTCTCACGGACCCGCTCTTCCCAGCTACGCTTCCAGTGGATGAGCATGCAAAACACTGGGTTCTTGCTTTCTCTACTTTTGACGAGAGTGAGAAGAAAGCGCTCCAGTTCATACTCCTTCAGAAACAAAGGTTAGTGTGACGATCCCACTGGTTCATGGTACGATCCATGTTAGAAAAATAAATGCAAATTTAGAGATTGTTTTTCCTCAAGGCTTGGATTAAAGTCTGTCAACTTTGTTGTTTTTCAGTCCTGTTATCAATTCATATACACGTATCATAGAAAAACTATGAGCTACTGTCAGAGCTCAGAAACTACAAAATTTCAAGGCATCATTCTTAGCCATTTGCTTAGATCCGGAGCATTTGGGCTGATCTGCCATTTGTTAGTACCTTCGCTTTTTATTCAAGCGGCACTCCTATGGTATGAACGGCATTTATGTGTATTAGGTCGTATTTACTTGTAGTACACTTTTATTATTTATTTATTTATTTATTTTTTTAAACTCTTTTCAGCATCGGCGTATTGATCTAACTTTTGTTTTTTAATCATTACATGAATCATTTTTTGATTGGATGGTTCTTTGCAGGCTGCAGCAAGAGATGCAGGTCTATTTGAACATGCGACAAAAAACTAAGGTAGGTTGCAGACCTCACCCCATCATGGTGGTGTTTTACAATGGATTTTTATCACTTTCGTGTTTTCATTTTTGGCCCATGGACCAAGTGAGCATGTTGTGCTTCTATATTTACTATTATACAATCCGTTTTCACATTGATTAAAGGACAACTCGAATCATATAACAGGAGGGAGATACTCCGGAGTTTGAGAAAAAACTACAGAGTTGTTTTAAGTCCATCGCTAATCAATTCGTGGACCCTCCAAAGGCGGAGGATAGTCTACAGAAGTTGCACCAAACGAAGGATGAAAGTGTTTTTACTGCATTGGCCACGCTGCTTAGTCCGATCACCACCATTGCACAGGCCAACACAGCTCGAGTATGTTTAATTGTGGTCCTTTGGTTTCAGCATTACTTGGAAAAGATTCACTATTGTTTTTGTTTAAGACCTGTGATAACGTTTTCTTTCGTTCTGTGCCTTTCTTCTTTGGCCTTGATGTGCTTGTATACTCTTTCTGTTCCGTGGTTCTCGAACTCACTGATCCTACCAAGAAAGAAAAGGACTTGGATCTTCTCGACCCTTTTGGGATTACGAGGAGATCAATTGGGGATGTTCACCATGTTACAGCGACAGAGTTTGTTGTTGCTGGTAATGAAGGAGATAGGTTTATGCTCATGAGCAAAAACCACGCTTATCTTAACAGACTTGAGCTCTAAATCTTGATTGGCATTTTCTAATACAACATTGGAGTGCGTAGGAGGATCTGTTAAAGAAAATAGGAGTGGAGCATCCGGAGTATGTCTTCATGAAAAGTCTTGCCACCAAGTGCGGCTATTTTTTCTTTAGCAAGGAGTGTGTGAACGCAATTACAAAAGAAGTTCTTGTTTGTAAGGATTCTGAGGACAACAAATACCTTGTTGCTACAAGTCTTTCGCTTCTTGTGGTGAGTGCAGAATTGCTTATTATAACTTTGGATAGTCACTCCTCAAATACCTCGCTTGTCAAGACATTTTGCCAGGATCTTTATGTTATGAAGTGACACTGAAGTTTGTTTTGTACATATGACTTATTAATCTTGTTTGACTAGTGTCTAGTGTACCGGAGTTTACTGTTACACATCTATTGGTCATGGAGTATGGCACCTGGAATTTTTCCAACTGTTACAAGGATCAGACGAATTGTTTCTTGATATTACTGTACTTAGAACTCCCATAAAAATAGAAATCTGCTGTTCTCCTTCCTGACGGACTCACTCGTCCCACATTTCTGCAGGAAATCGTCATATACTCCCCAGAGTTGTTGGCAGATGCTGAGGACGACTTGCTGACGTTATTGAAGGAACCTTATGAATCTGTTAAAGAGAGTGTTGTACATATCATGTCTAAAGCTGGTGCTTATTTCCGCAAGGAAGGACCTTCAACTGGAGGCAGAAGGCAAATAACATCCTGGACGCCATCTATTTAGATTGTTTCCTCATAGAGTTATTAGTTGTTAGTTGAGTGGGGTTGGCTGATGGTAATGTTACGTAGTGGCAGTTGGATTTAGCTGAATGATGTGTTCATTAATTTCTGATGTCTGTGCAGCAATGTTAACCTGATTCTGGAGCAACTTTGTCTAGAAGGTAATCGCAAGCAAGCCAAATTTGCGGTCTCTGCAATTGCAGCCATGAGTGCTGACTCAGGACTCAGGGCACTGTCTGTTTTGTATGGGGTAAGCTTTTTATTACTGCTTTCAATAAAATGACATTAATATTGTCTGTTTTGAGGATTTCTTTCTATTTGTTCTTCATTACTATCAGAGAGTACTAGCTGATTCTTGTCGTAGTAGTAGTTCTTCATTTTTTGTTGAATAATCATGGTCTTCTTGATGGATTTGGCAGAGACTGGTAGATAAGCTGGAGGATAATGCACATCTTCCAACAGTTTTGCAGTCTTTGGGCTGCATTGCACAAAATGCAATGCCTATTTTTGAAACGAGAGAGGATGACATCATCAAGTTCGTTGTTCGGAACGTTCTTAGACGGACAAGTCCGCAGGTTGGAACTTTTCTAAAGTTGACAAGCTCATGTGGTTACTGACTTACAAATAGTGCTTGCTAAGATACTGAATAGTTCGCCAAATCATCTAGTATTTTCTTGTAGGATATTTTGATGCATGTTGTCCCTTCATTGGACATGTCATTAACAAAAATTATCTGTTGGATTTCCACAGGAAGATGCTGAATTCGTCCCTGAATTTGATGTCCCAAGTGATCATGTGCTCTTGAAGGTGAGTATCGTGTTTGTGAATTGTCTACCTTGAGATGTTTTGTTATTCATCTTTGAGCTTATTGGGCAGATCATTGGCGGCTTTTCTCAAATCATTTAAGGTTTGTGGATTTGATGTTTCTTGAAATCGATGGATTTCAGATTCATGCTCTTAAAGCTTTGGTGAAGAGTTTTCTTCCAAAAATGAATGCACATCAACGAACAAGACTTCCAGGGCTTCTCAAGGTACTTGTCAAGATTCTTGCGTGTGGAGAAATATCAGATGACGTGAAAACAAGGTAAGATATTATTGATTATTGAAGATACTATTTTCGTCGCCGGAGTATATACATCTCTTATTGTGCAACTTCAGCTTCTTGAAGGGACAGGCAACTTCGGGTTATTTTTATATTTGTGATTCGTTCAGGCACATCGTGTAAACCTCCGGCTATTTTGATTTTTTTCCGTTCGGAAGCAGAGAGACCTGCCGGTTTTCCCAGCTGCTTTGTGAATTAGTTTTCTTGTTTTACAGTGACGCAGATAAAGCTCATCTGCGCTTGGCAGCTGCTAAAGGTGTACTGAGATTGGCTAGGCGTTGGGACAGTCAGATTCCTATAGACGTTTTCCATATGGTTGTTATGACGGTGCAGGTTTGTTTCGGTCGTCCATGATTTCTTTGATGCGATTAAGCAAATATTGTGGGATGCAATCATTTTATTGAAGCAAAAACTGACCTTCTGCTGAAAACATCTGGTGAACCTTAGAAGTTTTTGCGTTATCATTTTATGTTTTCAGTCTCACATCCTTCACTATATTGCAGACGCTCAAATCACAAGAAATATGTGTTGTACACTTGCTTATTCGGAGGACATGTTATGTACATAATGATCAAGGATGGAGGGAATCGACATAAGTACAGATTTGAATGGAGTACTCTCTCACAAGTTTGTTGTTTGCAGGATCAAGCAGCGCACGTTCGGCGTGCGTTGTTAAGAAAAATTCACCATTACCTGAAGGATCGATCACTGAATTTGAAATATGCTAGTGCTTACGTACTTAGTACGGTGGATACTGAAAAAGATATTGCTTTAGAGGTAAGTATGCGAATGTTTTCATTTTCTGGCTCTAGTGACTGCGGTTGTTTCAGCTTATGCAACTTCGACTTGCTTGAGACTTTTAGCAGTCTCTAGCAGGTGAATGACACTGAGGAGTGTCCAGCTTGTCTTATGTGCTATTTTTAGACAGTGTTTCTCTGTGTGTTCTAATGTATCTCAACTCTATACCTTTGACAACTCAGGCCCGGCGCTTTATGTCCGAGTTTATAGACGATTATCGCAACGAAGCTTACAAGGCAGTCACCGGGCAAGCTGAGAAGACAAATCTTACGTTGCATCCAGAATATGCTCTTGTTTACCTTGTACATGTTTTGGCTCACCATCCCAACTTTCCAGTAGAGTCTGGAGAGGTTAAGCCAGAACCAGCAGCCTATGAGCCATTCTACAGGTGCATCTTTTTGAGGTTTTTTCTGTTGATCAAATTCTTGGATGCAGTCTGAATTTTCCGTTGTCTCTGAAATAGTTTGTAGTAGCTTACGACTTGCGGCGAGGAAGATCGTGCGCATATAGTGGTGTCGTTTCTGTGTACCTTCATAGTTTGTGCTCTCCGTAAGTGATGAAATGTGAGGTTGATTATGTTTGTAGTGCCTGATCAGGTTTTTTGGTAACTGAATGGCAGAGAGTTGTTGTTTTTCTTACGGGCACTTATTCACCAAGAATCAGATGGGAAAAATGAGGCTGCTAAGAAATATGATGGAGATAATGTACCTCTTATTCTAGCGATTTTACGCACTATCAAAGGATGTGAAAATGTTGTTGACAGAACGAAGACTGAGGTTCGTAGTGATTCCTGTGTGCTTTCAAGGATGATTACCAAGTTCTGAGCTTTCCTTGAGCTCATATTCTGTTTTCAGTTCTACAAGCTGTACGAAGTCGATACAATTGGGATATTGAATCTTTTGTTTGTGAATGTTGCAATCATATCATACATTACTCAATCGGTGTGCGTGAAGGTTGTAGTTAACGGTTCTTCTGTATGTGGATGGTAGAGCTTGAGCGAATGGATAAAATCGGATTTGGCATAGATATGTGTAGTAAGTAATTATATGGACATGATATTGTAGGGGTCAGGTTTAGGATGTGCGAATTCTGCGACAGATAGTGAGGTGTTTAAAGGCTTCGGGCTTCTTCTTAAGCTATACATGGCACATTCTTATGTTCATCCAGTTTCAGTCGATGGTCTGAGTGACTCTGACAGTGATCATGTATGTTCGTTGTAGACTTTATATGCAATATGTGACATTGCCATATTGATTACCAAGGACATTGCGCCAAAGAAAAGGCATGTGGAGACGTACCCAGGTGTCGTTCCACTTCCAGCTTCTATGTACAAGGTACTTGAATCCGTGTCTCCTGAATATACGGCTCCTGAGTCGAAAGCACCTGTTACAAAGGCTGCCGAATTAAATGCAGCAGAAGTGAAGGCCCATAAACCAAATGCAACTGAAGCAATGACTTCTGAATCGAAGGCATCTGAAGTCGTGGCCTCCAAGTTAAATGCAGCTGATGTGAAGGCCGTTGAGGCTAATGAAGCTGAAGTAAAGGCTTCTGAACTAAACGCCACAGAATCCAAGCCACCCTCTGAAGTCAAGACGGCTGAACTTAATGTATTGGAAACCGTGGTATCTGAATCAAAAGAAGACAAGGCCACTGAACCAAGTGAATCCAAGGCAGCCGAGGTAGATGAATCCATGGAACCTGAACCAATCCAAACTGTTGCAGCTGAAGCAAATGGATCCAAGGCATCTGAACCCGAGGAATCCGCCGGACCTGAGTCAGTGGGTACCGGCGCTGCCGAACCAAAGGGAATCAAGGCAACTGAGTCAGCCGAACCCAAGGCAGCTGAACCCAAAGAGTCCGTAGTACCCGAGCTAATGGAAACCGACACAGCTGAACCCAAAGAATCCGTAGCACCTGAGTCAATGGAAACCGATACAGCTGAACTCAAAGAGTCCGTTGCACTTGAGTTAATGGAAACCGATACAGCTAAACCCAAAGAGTCCGTAGCACTGGAGCCAATGGAAACCGAAATAGCTGAACCAAATGAAACCAAAGCACTTGAATCAACTGAATCTAAAGAATCTGAACCATCCAAGTCTGGGGCACCTGAACCAACCGAGTCCAAGTTACCAGAACTGGCTGAAACTGCATCCAAAGGCCCTGAATCAGATGCAACGGTTTCCTCAATTGGAGAGGAAGAGAAGACTGGAGTGACTGAAGCTAAGAAAGCAGTGGAAGGGCCCTCAAAGGTGATATCATTTTCTCTGATGTCTGTGTCTTGCAATTAATAGGTCATCTAAAATTACTTCGTAGTCCATCCTCTGCTGTAATGAGCTGCCTTAACCTGAATCGAATATAAGGAATAGCGTCCAAGGTGTAATTGTTGCATGTATGTGGACCATTGTCCAGCTATAGAAGGAAATACGTGCCTTCTTAGTATCATATCTATGGCAATGAGGAGAAGATATTTTAATTTGTTTTTACACCTTCTAAGGATCAGTAAATCTCTTATCTACATAGTCGCCAAATACGACATCAGTCGATGCTTTGTGTTTTATAAAATACGCAAGGTCCTACTGCGGAATACCTTTAGAAATTTAGGCCTTTGTTGCTGTAATAGGTACATATGACCTTCAAATTTATATAAGCGCACCAATTTCAACACACTTCTCCAGGGTTTCACATGCGACTTAGTTCTGTTACGCCTAAACTTCAAAAGTTGATATTTTCGCAGGTGGACGGTAGCCATCTGCCAGCTTGCTTTAAGGACAAGGGTGTTTTAGCGAAATTCAAGCTTGGAAGCTCTTCAAAGACTCATAAGGTCTCTTGCCATCTCTATGAGTTAGGGAAATTTCTGCAGACGTCTGTCCTGGGAAGTTAATGTAACGAAAGATATTGTTTTGTACAGCGTTATGGAGTTAGCTCATATATAGCTGTCATGAAGATACGAATTATTTTTATGGAGTGACCTGATTTGCTGATACTAGGTAATCCTGTGGAACGATTTAAGTTAATCGCTTAAGTAGAGATCCCATGTAACTTTACAATGGTCTTGCACAAACCTGCCAAGCAGGTAGGATGTACTTATCAGATATTGTTATCCTGTGTGTTTTTTGTTTGAATAGCCTTCAAGCCCAAGGGGTCGCAAACGAGGGAAGCGATTCGACAACGGAGAAACTGTTTCAGATGCAGAGCTGGAGATGGAAGAGAAAAGTGTGCGTGAGCCTACACCTAAGAAGGGTAAACTTGGAAATGATAAATCAACAAAGGGTGCTGCAACTGTGGGAACAGGAGTTATAATTAAGGGACCTGCTCGTGGTGGAAGGAAGTCAGTGGATAAAAATGAGTCTGCGAAGAAGTCAGCAAAGAAGCCTGAAGTGGGAAAAGAACCTGAAGAGGACTTGGATGAAAAGACTCCTGCAAAACGCAAACGTGGTCGGCCCAAAGGTTCTAGTAGGAAGGATGATGGAATCAGTGGGGATGAAATGGCAGGAGCTTCCTCAGACACGACACCTACTACATCGGCCAAAAAAGGAAAGCCAGTCGCTGGCGACCGCTCCTTAACAGAGTCTGGCAAGAGAAAGCCTGGGCGTCCAGCCAAAGCGAAATCTGATGATGATGTACAGGAGAAAAGTGCACAGAAGAAAGAGAAGGTTAGTACTGTTGTTGAAGTGTTTTGATGCAACATCAAGTAGATCGTTATCTGAAAATTCTTGAATTGTTTACTAGAATATCCTTGAATAATTCCTTAATGGTGCCTTAAGATGCTTGATGTCCATTCTTCTGTAATTTGGTGCAAAAATCTGCTTTGTATTGTATGAAGTGACTTAAGAACCTGATGCTGCTTTGGATTTTGTGTTTTGACAGGTGAACATAAGTCAAGGCCTTGTCTCTACTCCTGATAAATCGGCCAAAAAAGCAAGTGCTGTTGAAAAGGTTAGAATTTGGCGAATCAGTCTTTCAAGACACTTCTTTTTAACGCTACTCTCTCCCCCTTTTTTGCTCTCTCCTTCTCTCTCTTCCGCGGTTATTTTGTGTGAGTGGTCTGGTATGGATATGCATAATCAGGTTTCTGTTGAGTCACGCTTGTGGATACGATAGATGTGAGATCCGTCATCCCGGCGATTTTAGTCATGGTTGTCTTGTTTGATTAATCTCAAAAATACAATTACCACTTACTTGTAAATGGACAATTTGGATCTAGAGTGAGAGCCCAGCTTGGAAGAATGAAGGCGAGAGGGGCGGAGATGAGTCTCTTGTTGGCTGTGGTATCAAAGTCTGGTGGCCTTTGGATAAGAGGTAAGTGTACCACCTTGCACGATGAGTTTTGCGAAAAATTAACAAGGAAATGACAAGCGAAGCTTTGAACTACAGATTGGTGTATTGTTTTTCAGTTTTACTTCGTGTTGATGTTATGACCTACGTGCAGAATATAGTTTATCTAATAATTTTTATAAATCCCTCAGCATCTCATGTGGAAGATCTTACTTTGGACTTAGCACGCTGTGCTCTTGGGAATGATTCATTGTGTCTCATATTTAACCGAACTGACAAATGCTTTTGTGCAGATTCTACAAAGGGTCTGTTGTGGATTATGATGCCAAGAAGAGGAAGCACAAGGTATATCATATGCCACATTTATATTAGATTAGTTTTTTAATTGCATATTGGTTGAACCGATTCGATATGTTCGTACGTGAGTCCTTAAGTTTAGAAGATTCGCGAGCTACTGGCTTTTCTGTGTCTCATGTATCAAAGGCTTGGACCTTGGCTCTACATTAAACATTTCAACTTCGTTCCACATCTTGTTAGATTTTATATAACGACGGGGAAACGGAAATACTGAATTTGACGAAGGAGCGGTGGGAGCTAACTGACAAAAAGAACAAGACTTCTGCAAAGAAGGAGAAGGTAGTTGTGTGAACTCTATCTTCGTTCTTCTGGAACGACCTCTTCGCATGTTATTTATATTTGTTGGAATGTGTTAAGAAGCTTGAGAATTTAATACCCACGTCTTGTATTAAATTCTAATGCACATAAATGCACGCTTGTTCTTGCAGACACCAGCTACTACTCCAACACTCTCAGGAACAAAATAGTACGTTTCGTATCTTTGATCCTTGTTTTATTTTATGCTCATTCTAAAGAAACTTGTAGTCGCTTTGTATTTGCGTGCATTTATGCGCATGCTTAGTCATCACAGAAATCGCGATTCAGTTCTTTGATTTGCGACTATTTTCAAAGGCACGTGCGAACGGCGAGTCACTTAACATTTTTTTGCTATCTTGTCAGCCCGGAACCCAAGAGATTGAAGGTGACCTCCAAGACACCACCGACAAAACAAGACGAGTCCGTAACACCATCTGACACCTCATCGTTTATTTATTTATGTGATTAATGTAGATTGGTACCTAGGGGATCGTCTATTGCATTTTCTTGCACGAGGCCCTCATGTGTTTGGTAGATATTTAGTTATAAATTGATTGTTATTTCTCTCATGGCCTGGAGTACTTATCCGTTTAGTGTTAGAACAATGTTTTTTTCAGTTCAGAATTGGGTTGGCCTAGTCAATCGTAGATGGTATTCAGTTTGTTTCTGTACTGACGTTAATTTTTAGTGTCAGTATAACGTAGCAAACTTATTCAGACTGCTATGATTTTCAACAGTAAAGACACTTTATCAGCGAAGCGAACAAGCACTCCCAAGTCAGCTAAGGAAGCTGAGAAACCCGCAAAAGTGGCCAAATCTCCTACCACCAAAGAACAGGCGGCAGATGCTTTTGAGTTTGATGATGAAGGGGTTGAACCTGAGGCGAAGAGACAAAAATCGCTCAAAGGTAATTTTCTCTAGAATTTTTCAAATCTGCCCACTATGTCTCAATTTTTAGTTGGTCGACATTTGTGTTTTTTTTTTATTAATTTATCTGTCTTTATGTTCTCGCGTCGTATTAGTTGGTGCTATCGAGAGATTTTGAGAATGATTCGGTTCGGCAAATTTCTGGGCAAACTTGACTAGATACCCAGTTGCTGGAAAATATTTCAGGGATGAAGGACTCAGAATGTGCCTCTGGCTCCATTTTGTTTGAGAAAATTTCAGTTACTCCTTTAAAGAATTAGGTTTAGAGACACTAGTTTGGTTACGAGTATCCGTACGATCATCAGATACTTCAAGCGAGAATTAGGGGATTGCATGACTGGAACCTGAATCTTCAGATTGAGCATTTAGTTTCAAAAACTCTTTGTGATGTAAGTCTACGGGAGAGTTCAGATTGGGAGTCCCAACTTGCTATAACATAAGCGTGCGTATGGTATCACTCTAAAGTACTATTTTGTGTGTTTAAGCAGCTTCAGGTGGGAAGCAATCCAAGGCCGATAAGAATGAGAAAACTATGGGCACGTCCAAAGATTCAGAAGCCGAAAGTGCCAAAGAGATGTCGGAAGAGTTACCTGTTGAAGGGAAAGCTGTAGGAATTGCTGAGGACGACGAGCCCTTGGTAAGTCGGAACTTTCCACGTACAATCAAGTCCCTTTTGGTTAATTCAGCATCACATTAGACATTTTAATTACTGTTGGAGTTTGAAGTCTTATATCTGAGTTTTTGGGTGTTACTTTTTCTTTTGGCTTTTTATTAGGATGTTTGCTACTTTATTTTCGAATTTCATGTTTTTTTTATGACCGATAGGATATGCGTTTCTGATTTTATCAAGTGGACTCTCGCTTCCGCAAGTCACGGAGTCTTGGTTGAGGCTGGCAGGACAATTGGAGAACTCGGAACGTTTGGAAGTCAAAGCCAGTGAAGAAATGATCTGGTCACTAGGATGGAAATATCTTACTGTTTGACAGTGAGATTAGTGTAGAGATTATGTGGGTTAGTTTCAGAACTAGCAGGTTTGTACATTCAACTTTGTATTGAAATTGGGAGGTTATGGAGTCTTGTCATTAGGAGGTAATGGATCTGAGGGATTTGCCAGCAGACTATTCGGTCTAATGCTTCATATTGGAGGGAAGACGTGAGGGGATATCATTCTGCCTACATTTGTACTCGTAACTTCAGTCCGTAAAGACGTTGAGACTGCTATCAGATCTCTTACAATTCCCTCATAATCTTATGACCTCCCCTCCATGAGCTGCTTCTCCGAGCTGGAACAGTGGAAAAGAGCTTCATTACTGTGGATATGGCTCTAAAGCAGTTTTACCTCTGCATCTTGTCCAGAACGTCCTTTCTGTGTTTCTTTTAAACAGGGATTCTTCAAAGTCTGGATGGGACTCGATTCTGGATGGGACCCCTTTTGCCAACCATGATACCAGTTGATTCATAGAATGTTATTTCTACAGGAAGAAAAAACTGAAAAGCACTAATTTTTTTATTCCAAACTTTGATTTTGCTCCTAATATTGTTAGACTTAATATATATTAATTATGTCAATTTTATTATTTTATTATATAATTTTAAAACTAATTTCTAATATTCTTTTGTATTTAATTTTTGAATCGTTGTCTTTTTTAGTAAATCTTTTAGAAATAACATTGTCTCTCTTGATATAGAATATCTCAACACCTTACTAATTCCATTCTACATATGTATCATACATTTTGGAATTTTTAATGTCTTATATATCAATGCATTTGTACCACTCTTTTTGAAGTTTGTCTCCAATGGTTTGCTAGTTTTATAGAAACCTATACTACTTATGCAAATAAAAATAGAAATATGTAGAAACAGATTATTAAGATAATGTATTTATTAAAAAACATCATAGAAGCTTCCTAAATAGTAATAAGATATATAGATGCACCATGTAATTCTAATTACTTCTTTTAGAGTAAAAAACTTCTAAGAATTCACTGTGGAGGTGCCTTTCAACTTAGACACTTAATCTATAAGTCTTGTGGTGTTTAAGTAGTTTTTATATAGCCTTCTTGTTAGCTAGTATATATAGAGGCAAGATTGAGACCATTCTTAGTCTTATCAACAACTTTGTATTATAGTCTTGTTTCAAGACTCTTAACAATAGAAAATCTAATATCATTTAACTTTATAAAATTTTTTTTCTCTCAATCTTATTTTTATTTTTATTTTTATATATTTAATAAGTAAACATTGAAAAAAAATATTAAAATAACATTGAAAAAACCATATCATTTTGAGTATTTTCTTTAATTGATTAGAACTATCATATCAAATGTGCCATGGAGTCAATCTTCTTCTTATTATTTTAAAAATTATTATTTAAAAAAAATATATATATATTATTTAAAAAAAATTAAAATTATTATTTGCCTAAATTTAACTATTTTAAATTTTAATTTTGAGTATTTATTATATTTAAAAAACTACAATTATATAATTAAAATTAAAAGTTAAAAGAATGGTTCATAAATGGATTGTTTTACTTCTACTTCTAATTAATTTATAATATTTTTATTAATTCTTGATATATTCTATTTGAGTTTTAGTTTTTTTTTACTTATTAAAATTACCATTTTATATTTTTATATTCTAAAAATAAATCAAACTTTTGTGTCCATTGAAATCAATAATATGTATACTCTCTTTTTTCTTTTTCCTCCAAAAATTAAATGTATTTCTACTTAAAGTGTTCTAATAATTCATTTGCCAATAATTTATTGTTTAAGTATGCAATTTATTTATTTTAAAATCTCTTTGTTATCCTTTCCAAACCCACTAAAAATATTTCTTTCTTCAATGCATATGAGTAAACAATTTTAATTTCTATTATTCTCTCTTAGTTCTTTTAACTTATTCTATTTCAATAATTCTATAAGTTAAAATATTGCAATTATTTGTTTTATTGTAATCTTATTCAGCTCCATCTTTTATGTATAGACACACAAGTACAAAGTGACATTGCAACCATCACATTGATCTTCTTATTTTTTAATAGAACATAAGACTTTGATTGTTTACTTTTATTTCTATTATATTTTTGTGATTACTCTTTATTGACATTAAATCTTTTAAATATTCTCAAATTTTCTTTTATACCAACTAAAAAACAAATATCCATAGATACATTATCTATACCATAGCAAATTTTTAAAGCTTTACAATAATTTCAGAATGCAATAATTGCTATTTTGAATCTCCAACAAATTCACATATTACTTAAATAAATAAAAGTTAATAGAAGTAAGTAGAAGTAGGTACAAACATATTAATTAGATGATATTTTCCTTAAGAAGCTTTGAGGAAGTATCTTTGACATTATTTAGATATTTAGATTTTTATAGATATACCATGTGGCTAATGAAAAAGAATCTTATAAGTTTCTTATAAGAAATTGCATTAGAAGCAATATACTACTTAGCATTTAAGCTACAAGTATTATAATCTCCAAAGAGCTTCTATAAGATATTTTGGTAGCTAGTGTAAATAAAAGAAAGATTAAGACCATTATAAGTCTTATCAGCATATTTATTATATTCTAGTCTTGTTTCAAGGTTTTTTAGTTTCTTTGTAATTAATAATATTTAATCTAATTTCTTTTTATCTTATGTCTATGTCTTATTTGTTTACTTTTTTTCTTTTAATGAGATAAGAGTATATTGTCTTCTCAAAGTTTTATCCAAATTCATGTGTTAGAGTCTTTTTGAGAATGCATCAAGCACTTGGTTGTGGAAGGTAAATTAAAAATTGCAACAAGGTCCTAACAACTCTAATAGAATTCTAAATAAATATCAATTAAAGCTTAACAATCATAATCAAATCTTAATCAAATTCAAAAGAAATCTTAAAGATATTATAAAAGAAATATAAAAAAATCCTAAATAATTTCTAAAGAAATTATATATATATATATATATATATATATATATATATATATATACATATATATATTAAAATATTAAAAATTAAAATTCTAAGTAAATTCTAAGTAAATTCTAATCAAACCCTAATATAACTTTAAAAAAATCCTAATAAAATTATAAAACAATCTTAATGAAATCCTAACTAAATCCTAATTAAATACTAATATAATCCTAAATCCTAAACCAAATTCCAATCAAATCCTAATCAAATTCTAAATCCTTATCAAACCCTAAAAAAACACTTAAAAATCCTACAACTAATTAAAACCATAATAACTAATAATTTAACTATAGATTTTGACTCAAATTTTGTGCACTTTTCAATTACTTAGTTGACAACAAGCAGAAACAATTTGAAAAAAAATTGAACTTATCAAATAGAAGATAAACCCTCTAATCTATTTGGAAGTTAGCCAACATTCTTTTCCAACCTTGATAATAATCTCATTTTAATTTTCATTCAAATCTTGCTCTTTAATCAACCAAAGAATCTCAAGAATTATTATTTGTGTATGGTTTTGTGCCTCATGGTCTGATTTTGATTCTAATTTACAACCAATCTTCTTCAAATATCAATTTTTGGTTTTTTAAGATAATTTTTGCTTTGAAATATTTTTAAATATTAATTATTTATAAAATTTCTACTTTTTTTTTCTCCTTATTTATGGTCATAGAAAGTAAATAGAAGCCTAATTTTACAAAGAAGCAATATTAGCACTTATTAATTTTACTATCTTTTTTACTATTATCTATACTTTTAAAGTAATTTTCTATAATTTTTTTAATGAAGCTCTTTTATAGTATAATCTTTCTTTTTTATTTCACCTAATAGTTTTATTACAATACAACATCATTATTAAGCATGTACAAAAAGCCTTCTATCTTTAATAAGGTACATTCTTGCATTGATAATAAACCTCGTTGCTAATCACATTAAAAAAATTAATATTATTACAAACCAATTGAATTTTGTAGAACTAACCTATGATGACAAGATCAAGGCTTTGATTCTATTGTCCTCCTTGTTTGAAGTTTGAGTTGCAATTGTTACCATAGTAAGCAGTTCTTTAAAAAGTAAGAAAATGAAACTTAACAAAGTTCAAGATTTAATTCTCATTGAAGATGTTTGTAGAATAGAGTTAAGAAAATCTTTAGGTTTTGTCTTGAATTATAAAGATAGAAAAATGAATTATCAACAAGAATATAGATTGAAGTCCAAAGAAAGGAATAAATTGAAACCTTGCAAAGATATTACTGGCTAGAATTGCAGTACTAAGGTTTATTTTTCTAATAATTGCAGTCAGCTATAGAAGAATAAGAAGAATCAAAAATATTAAAAGTATAAACATCAAGAAGATAAATCAGCAAATGTTACTACTAAAGAGATATATGATGTTTTTTATTTGCAATGTAATAAATCCTATCAAGTCTTAAATCGTAGGCTTGGGTGTATCATTTTAGTCAACTCCATACAAAGAATTATTATACAACTTTATTGTTGAGAAATTTGAAAAGGTTTATTTAGTTGATGAATCTTTAGATATTATGGAAAAGGGTGATATTCATATAAAGATTGCAAATGGTACCTAATAGAAGTTACAAGATATAAGCTTTATTCCTTGCTTAAAAAAAAAATCTAATTTCTATAAGCCAACTAGATAATATAAGATATATAACAAAATTTGGAAGTGATTCATGATTGTGGTAAGAGGTAAGAAGTTGAAAACATTGTACATGACTGAAGAAAGCAATGATACAATAGTAGTAGCTAAATGTGAAGTTGATTCTAAGCTATGGCAGTAGAAACTTTAGGACATAAGTAAGAAAGAAAAAAAATTGCTAGTATCAAAAGAACAACTATCTAATTTGAAAGATGTTGATGTTGGCTTATGTAAAGATTGTATCTATGACAAGCAAAAAAGAGTTAGTTTTTCAAAAGTTGGAAGGTAACCAAAGAAAGAAAAATTAGAGCTGGTATATATAGACATATAGGAAATTACTCTAGTTTAGTCTTTCAGAAGTTTATGCTATTATACCACCTTCATCAATGATTCTATCAAAAGATATTAATTTGTTTCTTAAAAAATAAATCTAATGTGTTTTCTACTTTTAAAAGATATAAAATTAAATTTAAAAATAATACCAATCTAAAAATCAAGTATCTAAGATTAGATGATGGATGAAAGTTTAACATCATAAAATTCAAGGTATTTTGTGTAAAAATTAGAATTCAAATAATAAAGACAATTCTAAGAATTCTTAAACAAAATGATATTGTGAAAGGATGAAAAACACTTTGAATAAATATACAACAATCATAAAGATACATTAAAGATTATCCAAATATTTTTGAGCATATGCAATCAACAT